GTGAAGCTAAGCAGATGCACTGTCATGATCCTCTGTCTCGACTTTAGAACAAAACAAGATGTGCGTTGGGGACAGATCACTTGGACAGACGCACCTGGCATCGCAGCGGACAAAACATTAAGTGTTTCTCACTTAGTACTCTACTGTTATTTTTATAAATCGATAATTCGTACTTTCGAGTGAGAAACAAATATGTTTGTTGCCAAGTGCTGTAAAAATATTTCAATATATCTTGATGCCAAATCTGAAATGGAATGGCAGAGCGATGCACTCCCTAGTGGTTACATTTCTCTGGGTTTCACTTCTACCTCATGGTTAAAGAAGCCTTTTGCGATAAAGAATACATACAAAAGAATGAAGCAAGTTTCAAGTGGATATAATTTTATATCACTTTGTTTTATACTCTGCAAACAAGCATTGCAAATTGCAAGAACGTAATCCATCCAAAGCTGATTCGAAGCCTTTATTTCCCATCATTCCCATGGGGGTACACTCACCGCTGAAGGAGACCGTGTAAGCACTAGCACCAGATTCCCCTCTAGGTATTATTGTATGAAACTTTATGCCCCTAACCATCTACGACTGAACATGCCTGATGCTGCGACAATGACTGAAAATCCCAAGGACTGCCTGCATGGTTCGCCACAGGTGGAACAGACCAGACAGACAGGTAGCCCACCCGCCTGCCAACACGTACGCTTGCTTGACAATTTTAACGCCGTCGATGGCCCCTGATAACTGCAGTGATGGAAGTGCTGCTCTAATTGCTCCATGCTGCTCGAAAAGAGAAATGTTGCTCCATGCTGCTCCAAAGGGTAATTTTTGGTAGTAATTGCTACAAAGCTGCTCCGAAATGACACTGAGAGAACGAGAGTGACGAACTTTTACTTTTTGATCAACTAACAGGTCCTTTAAAAACTTAAAAGAATTGGTGTACTTTCATCCCAGTGTGCTACTATTGTGCAGCATTATTGGCTCTGCTCCCAAATGTGCGGCAGAACTGTCATATTGACTATATAGGCCATTTGGCAGTTGTTTTTTTTCAGCTGGACATGCAGGCTAGTGTGATGAAATGTGAAAATGAGCCGGATTGCTTTTATCTCATACCTATTATCTACTGCTCGTTTGGCAGCACTTATATTGTCACGTGCTACAAAAGCTCTTCAACTCAGAAGAACTGAGTCGACGGGGAGACGCACCGAAAACTGGCAAGATGGCTGCTTCAATAATCAACAACCAGAATGCGTGCTGCCCCAGAACATCGTCTTCCATTCTAGCTGGCAGCCATGGCTTGCGGTCGCCGTACCTAGCAGCCAAGTGGCATTATTCCCCCTCTGAAAAAAAAAAAGGGCATCACTCTGATGCCCGGAAAGTACAAAGGCAAAGTTGAGGCGAACCAACAGAAAATACCCGCATACAAAAAAAAACAGCAATAAGGTTCGTACGCAGTCGCACTACCGCGTAGAGTACGGCTTCAATCGCACTACAGGCACAATCTCCGAGGAGTGCCTTTGCCGCCATGGCGAGAAGGCACTGTCAGGGACTACCTCCTGGTTCACATCGCTTATGCAACGCAACACTTTGTACAGTCCGAAATAGCGACTGAGCAGTTTTTCTGACAATCCCTGGTGTCGGACTGGAGTCCACACCCACACTTGATCGCCTGGATGGTATTCAACTTGTCGATGGCAAGCGCTGTAGTGGCATCCATCTGTACTCTGCTGGTGTGTAATGTGTAGGCGTGCTAACTGACGTGCTTCTTCGGCGTACTGGGAAAGCTGCACAGCGTCAGGAGTGATCAAAGTATCGTAATTGTGTGGAAGCATCGCATCCAGCATGGTCTGGACCTCACATTCATATACAAGACGGAAAGGCGTCAATTCCGTGGTTTCCTGGACGGCAGTATTGTACGCAAATGTGATGTACGGTAGCACCTGGTCCCAGGTCTTATGCTGGACTTCTACGTACATGAATAACATGTCCGCGATGGTCTTGTTGAGTCGCTCTGTCAAGCCGTTGCTCTGCGGATGATATGCCGTGGTCTTGCGATGGCTCGTGTAGCTGAGCTTGAATACGTCATGAATGAGCTGGGCCGTGAATGCTGTTCTGTCTGTGATTACGCACGACGGGGCGCCATGTCGAAAAACGATCTGGTCCGTAACCAATCGGGCGATGTCGGAAGCTGTAGCACGTTGTAGTGCCTTTGTTTTGGCGTACTTCGTCAAATAGTCGGTGGCTACTACGATTCACTTGTTGCCGGCAGATAATAGCAGAAAGGTCCCCAGTAAATCCATTCCTATTTGATCGAATGGCGCTCTAGGTGGTTCTATTGGTTGAAGAAGCCCCGCGGGCTTCAGTGGCGGGGATTTACGGTGTTGACATTCCCGGCAGCTTTTCACGTATCGCTTAACGGATGCGGAAAGCTTAGGCCAATAGTACGCTTGTCGAACTCGAGCGAGAGTTCGAGAGGAACCTAAGTGACCAGATGTGGGCTCATCGTGGCAGGCGAGAAGAATATTGTCATGCTTGTCAGTTGGCACAACTATAAAATAGGTTCTCTCATTGCCGTTGTAGTTTTTCTTGTACGGGATCCCATCTCGCAAACAGAACGACGACAGACCTCGAGAAATACATCGAGGTATGAAATAGTTGCGTCCTTCAAAGTATTCGATAACTGGGCAGATTTTGTCATCCGGGTGTTGTCATGTAATCAGATCTGTTGCAGTAAGGGCCCCAAGGAAACCACCGTCATCCTCGGTGTCATGGCCACAAACTTCAACAGGTGCACGGGACAATGAATCAGCATCTTTGTGCTTGCGATCCGATTTGTAAGCGCTCGTGAAGTCGTATTCCTGCAGTCGAAGACTCCATCGTGCCAGTTGCCCACACGGGTTCTGTAGGTTGGTTAACCAGCACAACGAATGATGGTCGGTCACTACCTTGAAGTGGCGTCCATAAAGGTAAGGCCTAAATTTCATCGTGGCCCATACAACAGCGAGGCACTCTTCCTCTGACGTGGAGTAGTTGACCTCGGCATGGGAAAAATTACGTCTAGCGTACGCTATCACTCGCTCTGTGCCCTCTTGTTGTAGGACGAGGACAGCACCAAGACCCACGTTGCTGGCGTCACTATGAATTTCAGTATCAGCGTCTTGGTCAAAGTGAGCGAGGACTGGTGGTGTGTGCCAATCCTCGCGTAGATCAGAGAAAGCTGCGCCCTGTTCTTCCTCCCAGACGAATGGAACATCTTCACGAGTGACTCGAGTGAGCGGATCAGCAATCCTAGAAAAATTGGCTCTAAAGCGGTGATAGTACGCGCAGAGCCCTAGAAAGCGACGTACTGCCTATTTATCACGTGAAACAGGAAACAAAGCCACGGCAGTACTTTTGTCAGGGTCTGGTCGAATACCATCCGCACTGACTACATGGCCGAGAAACTTAAGTTTCTTGTAACCGAAGTGGCATCTTTCTGGCTTCAGTGTCAAATTAGCAGAGCGGAGCGCTTCCAGCACATTCTGTAGACGCTTCAGATGCTCCTGAAAGGTCACAGAAAACACGACATAATCATCCAGATAAACTAGGCACGTGTGCCACTTTAGACCGGTAAGAACAGTGTCAGCATTCTCTGGAATGTCGCAGGTGTAGAACAGAGGCCGAAGGGAAGCACTTTAAATTCATATAGGCCATTTGATATAATGAAGGCGGTTTTTTCACGATCTCGTTCATCAACTTCAATCTGCGAGTAGCCACTTACTGGTCAAGTCTATTGATGAAAAAAACTTGGCCCGCTGCAGTCTGTCGAGGGAATCGTCGCTGCGGGGCAGCGGATAGATGTCTTTTTTAGTCACGCTGTGAAGTTTTCTGTAATCCACGCAGAAGCGCAGTGATCTATCTTTTTTTTTTTTCACAAGCACGATCAGAGATGACCAGGCACACTTCGAAAGTTGGATAACGTCATCTTGCAACATCTTTTCGACTTGAGCATTTATCACGTCACATTCCTTTGCCGAAACGCGGTAAGGGTGTTGTTTTATGAGCGAGGTGTCGCTTATCAGGTGGCTTCTCGTTCGAGCGTTCGACTTCGGCCCTTGTGCGGGAGTCGTAGCGTCCTAGGCAAGCGTACTTGCTCGGTCTTGCGGAGTTTCCTATACGGCCTGCAAGCCCGTGAGTGTCGCACCGTGCCGCATCTTGGGTTAATAAACCCATTGTTATTGTTATCCTGCCTCGTGCGTGGTTTCTGCGCCATGCCGGAGAAAACGACGAACCTGGCCGCAACGTATTCGCACGCAGCGGCAGTGGAGGACGTCGCATCCCTACACGGTTGCGCATAGTAGGTAAGCCTTGTGCAAACCTATCTCCACATAACTGGCGCCCAACGTGGGGGAGGCGGTCACCGAACTGCAGGGAAACCAGGATAAGGCTGGTTCCAAACCACGCCACCGGTACAACCTGCGAAAACGCACCTAGGCTGATTTTCGCCTCGGCATGTAGCGGGATGTCATCCCCTCAATGTAAGGGAGCGGAGATTATAGCTGCTGTGCGATTGCCCGTCCAGCAGCAACAGTAACGGCTATCTGGTGAGCTTTCTCCCTGGTAACAACATTACGCACGCTGCGCACGGAATATCCACTCAGTTCCTCAGTTCCCAGCGCTCCCGGCTGCTCGAGAGAGAAAAGCCCTTTCCCCGGTGGCTCACCCTCTCACTGGGTATTTTCCACGTAGTCGGCGGGAGAAGGGAAGCGTGCGCCCTATTGGCTGACGCAACCTTCAATCCGACGGAGTTGGCTCTCTTTATTGGGCCAGCCTGTCGCGCCTCCGGGGCCGCACCTTCAGTTGCGTTTCGGCTTTTCACCGACACCCCAGCTTTCGTTATGTCCTCCTCGGTGACCCGTTCTTCCAAGAAAAAGCCCGGGAGACCAGCCGCGCACTCGGTCGTACCGCAGGCACCGGCCGCGTCCATGTCGCCTCCGTGAAATGCTCCCCCGGCCCCGGATAACAAGACACCGCCTTGTCGCGAAGTCGCTACGTGGACGTTCCAAGATGGCACCGAGGCCCCGGTCGCCTTCGTGTCGACTCGTCGCTGGTCCAAGCAGCACAAAGTCTGGGTGGGGTTAGACCCCGAGTCCGTCCCACGTCCTTTTCGCGGGCGCACCCTTTCGGACCTGCTCGACGCTTCCGGAGGTGCCTCGATGCCGCCTGTTCCCGATGCCTCCTACTGCGACGCTTGCAGTGTCCTACTAGTACACGAGGCTACCCATCATTGTTCGCGGGTTCACCGAACGAAGTCTGGCGGTGCCCCTGCGGTCCTGTCTACTCCGGTGGTGCTGCCTGGCCCGGGCCTTCAACCTGCCCTGTCGACCGACTCCGTTCAGGCAGTTGTGAAGGCGCTCGTCATGGACTCATCATTCAAGTCGGCCATCGCTGCTGCGGTGTCTGCCGCCCTCCCGCGGCCCCTGGTTCCTGCTGAGACGCCGCCGAACAAAGACACCGGGGCCCCCGTCGATCTCGTGGACGGCACTGAGCTGGACCTCACTTCTTTCGAATAAAGGTGTCGCTGGATGCTTTTATTACGGCGTCTTTAGGGCGGCCTCGGTCTTAGGAGGGGGGGATGTGGGAATCGAGAGCGCCCTCCTACCTGGCGCCTCATTCCCCAGCTGCCGCACACGCGCCACCAGCGTGGCCCGGGCGCGCATAAGCACCGGCATCCGCCAAGATGGCTGCCAGGACGCCTCTTGGTCTGGGCCAGTCAACCGTCTGCTTTTTCCCGCGCTGGCATGTCCGGGCACGCTATGCTGGTACGCTGCGCAGGCCTACGTCACAACGCAGCGCCATTTCCCAATGGGCGCGCGTGACATTCTCCTGTCCTACGAGCTGTGTTGCGCCCGACGATTCGCTCGTCGCGGCAGATGCTCTCAGGCCTTCACGAGAGGTTGATGCGCTGCTTAGCAGGCGGCTTCTCGTTCAAGCGTTCGACTTCGGCCCTTGTGCGGGAGTCGTAGTGCCCTAGGCAAGCGTACTTGCTCGGTCTTGTGGAGTTCCCCATACGGCCTGCAAGCCCGTGAGTGTCGCACTGTGCTGCATCTTGGGTTAATAAACCCGTTGTTGTTATCCTGCCTCGTGCGTAATTTCTGCGCCGTGCCAGACAAAACGACAAACCCGGCCGCAACGTCTTCGCACGAAGCATCCCTACACGGTTGCGGAGGACGTCGCATCCCTACATGGTTGCGCATAGTAGCTAAGCCTTGCGCAAACCTATCTCCACACGGTATACGTAATTATTTAGTGTTTGGTGATCGGTGTCCGACAAACCTTCGAGGTGGACGCGAAGCACTCTTTAAATTGATATAGCAGTTCACGTAGCTCGGTCTGTTGTTGTTCCGAGATGGTCGAGTTGACATCAACTTTTGCAAGTAGTGAAGTCACGTTGCTTGGTGTCGGTCGAAGCCCATCGTCAGCTGATGTAGATGCGAAGCATGCAGAAATGTCTGCGATAGGGTAGGTGAAAGCGATGGCGGTGTCACGAAACAGGTGCCGGTACTCGTTACTGAAATTAGTCACAAGTAAGGCACAGTGTCCATTATAAAGCGGGACGAGGCTGCGTTCAGTGCAGACACCTAGCGCGAACAAAAGCGCCAAGTTGCCTTCGGCGACAACCTCACCATCCTGTAACTTGTTGGACACCACATCAACTAGGACGCTTGAACGCGGAGGCAACGTGATGCTGTCAGAAGAAACACGAAACGTGCTGTCACGGATGTCGTCAGATTTGTCGGAGGATCCAGCTGTTGAAAATGGCACGGTACGCTCTCGAAGATCGATAATAGCGCTGTGCTCCCGCAAAAAGTCGACTCCTAGGATTAGGTCTCGGGAACAGTCATGAAGTATGAAGCAGCTGGCGAGAAATGTATGTCCTCGAATGCTCACTCTGATAATGCACATGCTGATTGGGGTGACTACGTGCCCACCGTCAGTACGAATTTTTGCTTCGTACCAAGGCATAACAACTTTCAATATGTGCGCTGCTAGTTTTCCGCTTATGATCGAATAGTCTGCACCTGTGTCTAATAATGCACTAACGTTGTGGTGACCGTCAACTACCACATGTATATCCAAAGAAAATCTTCTTCTGACTTTCGTCTCTGTCGTGGTGGGATCGCCCCGGGTCCGTACTTGCGTCGGTTGGAGGCCTTGCTTGCGTCGAGTGTCAGCGGCCTCGCTCTCGAAGGTCGCTGTCGTTAGTTTTCCCTCCTCTGGCTTGGCGAGCACACTGGCGCCGCCCCTGGAGGCTGTGAAAATTCGGAGAGGATCGCCTTGAGGATGGGGACCGCGACTGCCGTTGCAGTGGCATGCGTTGTTGTGAAAGGTAATCTTCAATAGCTTTCGGTCTTTCGCCGCATCTTGGCCGTGGCGAGTTGACGGCAAAACCCTGTAATTCGGGGCGACGATAGGGACATTCCCGGTACACATGTCCAGCTTCACCACAGTGATAACACAGTGGTCGTCTGTCCGGTGTGCACCATACGTCTGATTTTCGGGGAAGCGGCTGTCGATTTTCCAAGTGCTGAATTGGCTCCAGCGAAGAAAGGGCATCCTGAGGCATAGAATTAACGAAGCGCGGGGAAACAGGAATGTATCGACTGACAGCTTCTGCGTATGATGCACGATGTGGCCCTGTCGGGACAGGCGGGACATAACTGGAAGGCGGCACTTGGAGAGCCTGTCGTACTTTGTTTCTGACAAGGCTGCAAATAGATCCTGCTGTAGGTTGGGACTGGCACTGAATCTTTTGTAGTTCGTCGCCCACCACCGATCGAATGAGGTCGCAGAGAGACTCGATGTTGATGCTGCATCCTGCACCTCCGATCTGACTTCCTGATGGAGTGACACTCACTTGCCGTTCGTACACAGTAGAGCGCTACTGCAGCACTTGTTCTATGGTTTTGGCTCCGGTCAAAAATTCCACCACGGTCTTTGGGGGACAGCGAACGAAGCCAGCAAAAAGCTGCTCTTTCACTCCTCGCATTAAATGACGGACCTTCTTTTCTTCCGCCATGTCAGGGTCAGCTCGACGAAAGAGGGTCGTCATGTCCTCCACGTACATCATGACACTTTCATTCGGCATTTGAAGGCGCGACTGAATCGCTCGCTCGACTCGTTCATGTCGATCGGGATTGGCCCAACTTGCCAGCAAGTATCGACGAAAGACGCTCCACGAGGAAAAAGGCTCACGGTTTTCGTACCAAGTACGAGCGCCGTCCTCCAAGCTGAAAAGCACGTTCCTCATCTTGTCGAAGTCTGTCCAATCATTGAAATCGGAGACCCTTCGAACTGAGTCAGCCAGTCTTTGACATTCTCCAAGATGGAACCGTGGAACACCTTCGGCACATGTGGCTTCCACAGCGTATTAGGCGTGGCTGCAGCGCTTTCCAGTGCGTTGGATGCTGCAGCGCCTTCCCTAGCGTTCGGAGGTGTGACAGACGTCATCTTGGGAAGAGGTCCACGCTCAGGAGATAGTCCTCAGAGTCTTCGGCTTAAGCGGTGAACAGGTGTTGTCACTGCAGGTACAAAGCTACCTGGAGGCGTTTGGAACATCGGCTGGGGGTTACCCAGCAGCTCCGCCAGTTGTCACGTGCCACAATATGGGACTGTGGTTACTTATAAGATGTGGTGCTTAGCTTTTCCAGTTTAATTTGATTCTTGCCCCAAATACTAGTACACTCAGACCTTGTTATAACAAAGTTGAAGAGGAGTGACAATTATTTCATTATATCCATTATTTCGTTATATCGATTACAACAGTTTGTGGCAATGTATGCTCAGATGGCCGCACACCTATAAGCATGCAAAGAAGGAAACCACCTTGCAGCCCGATGTACCGCTAGGCGACCACATGTACGATGGAAAATAAACACAGTCGGACCTCACTATCTCGAACACGCTTAATTCGAACTTCCGGTTAATTCGAACTTACGCTGAGGTCTCATGAAAGCTATGTGTATTCCAATGGGCGAAAACACCCTGTAATTCGAATGCGCAAGCACTTGTGACAGTTAATTCTAACATACTGCTCTCCGAAAATGCTCTCAGCACCATACACAATCTCGCGGTGGCACCTCTCAACGCTGCGCGTGAAAAAGGAAAAGAAAAAAAAAAGAAAAGACTGGTGGAGTGTTTGTTCTCTCTGAAATGCCGATCTGTGATGCGCCTGTGCCACGCTTCTCCCTTTTCAGTCTCTGCACGTAGAGACCCTTCTCCTTTCGAAGCCGCGCGTGGAGAGAGAGGGAAAAAAAAAGCTGTCTCGGAAAGTCCTCCTTTCTCAGTGTAAAGGGTAGCAGCAGAGACACAGTCGTTGCCGTCGTCTTTAAGACGCGGAGAGGGAAATCGTCTTGCACCGCTGCGCCGCTTCTCGGTCATGTGACCCGCTGAGCGCTTTCTCAATCCTCTCCGCTGGCTGTGTGAGCAGGATGGCTCTCGCGGCCGTGCGTAGCGTGGCTGTAAGGTCGGTGCGGTAGTTTTGAAAGAGCCGTGCTAAACGAGCGTCAAACTCTGCAAAAAACAATATACTTAACACACTATGATTGGTTTTTAAAGACGATCTTCAACGCAAAAATTTTGGTCTGTCTGTCTGCACATTTGTCTATTTGTCCACCCTTAACGGTACCCTAAACGACACCAAAGTGACCAAACAGTACTTCAAACCGCCGACTTCATCCGTAGCACCCACCAATATTGCTTAAGGTAGCGCTCATACTTGTGCGATTGTCAATTAAAAAGCAATTATTGCACATATTTGCGGCCCCATAACAAAACGTCAATATTATGTATGGTTATTTTTTACTAGAAAAGGCATACATAAGTAAATTTAAGAATCGTAGTCTTTATGGCGCTGTGCTGGCTATGCAACGCTTGCAGGAAACGGCAAGTGTTTCAACGCTTTGCTAAGACGACTTAGTGGTGGCACCTACCAGTCGTCTTCCGTTCTACACCTTATCACCTCAAAGATAGGGTGCGTGCTTCAGAAATGACAGGTGTCATTTCGGAGGCGCGCTCCGTTTTTTGAGGTATCACCTCAGAAACGGGGCGTGCGCCCCGTTTTTTAGGAGAATTGCCAGATAACGCTCATGTCTCACGTGTGACGTGACTTGATGCGCTCGGTCGCCTCTGCTGCACGCTTGAGGCACTCTAACGCAGCGCCTCCAGAATACCATTCACGCTTTTCTTGCGCAGAACATCAAATAAACGTTTTGTTCACTCTCTCCAGACGCAAAACTGTCGAGACATTTATGGTGTAACATGCAGATACGGGGCCAATTTTTTTTTATAGACTATTTGATAGACTAATTTAGTTCATTATATCTATTTACCGGTCAATTTTACTTTGTTCGAATGAGGTTTAAAATGCATGGTTCTCAATTGAGATGTCGAGGGGAGTTTCGTTTATTTTTTTGTATTCATTATTTCATTATATCCTGTTACGTTATAACGAGGTTTGAGTGTGTTTCAAATTGTAGCTCATTTCACAGCATATTTTTGATAACCTGGCATTGTTTGCATCATGAAGTTTACTTTGATTGTTGTCTTGTAAATACATTTCCTAATAAAAATATTTACGAGATGCTTCGACAATGATCTGAACTTCAATCAATGCATAGCAAATTTAATGTCTGCTCCAAAGACACGAGTAGCTGCTGTAAACCAACATTTTTTCTGCTCCAAAAATTCTTATAACTGCTCCAAAGTAGTATTTTTCTTGCTGCAACAAGTAAAAAGTCACTTCCATCACTGCATCTGTGATGCCATAGACCCACCACTCAATCTCGCGTCTCGTAACATCGGCTCTCCATAGACCCACCACTCAATCTTGCGTCTCGTAACATCGGCTCTCTCTTGAACACTGTGTTGACTGATTGGATTACGCCTATGCGTTGAACGTTGTCAGTGGCCAGAAAAAGTCATCTATTCGCGCCCTCCGAGTCGGCTCGTCATCACGCTAAGCCATGTTGCACGATGTCTGTCCACAGCGCATAACTTCCAACTCGTCCGCACCCTACTCGACAGGCTCTGGGGCTGCCGCAGCCAATACTGTACCGCCGCAAGCAACGGTACCAGCACCATCAACACACTACATGCATGGACCGCATTCCCCGTTGACGTTCCAACCAGCAACATGTACGTACATCTAGACGCACTGGACTTGCTGTTCTATGCCCATGCAACAATACAACTTTCATACATCAGTTCCCAATCGCGCGCGACGGCCGACTGCATCGAAATGGCCCGTGTGTGTTCTCGGTCCTTAAGCGTTGTTCACCTTGTCAGTTGTACTCGCTATCACCAAAAGCGTCCCTTCAGCACGACCCTCGCCCGCTGCGCTATAATCAGTGTCGCCCACCAGAGACCCACTGGTTGCCGATAGTCCCTTCCCATTGACGACCGGGACTGCTCACGTACCTCTTCGTTTTTCAAACCTAACCGACTTGCATATATGCTCTTATTGTTTTCATTCTGGGTTCATTTCTGCGATGGGGGAATAGTCTGTAGCGTCATTTATTATCATTATTATTTCTTAGCCACCGCGCCGCGCCCCTCGTACAGCTCATGGATAGCTCGAGCTGCACTATCACAGAACGAGTTCACGTGCCTGGCGTGTCGGCCGCTGGTAGCCGCTGCCGCTCCGCTTCAGCCGACGAATAAAGTGGCGAGATTGGCACGGCCCCGTCGGCCCTCTTCGACGTCGTCTCACGTCTTCCTCGCTCACTACAATATTCGTAGTAGCGCATAGTATCCCCCCCCCCCCCCCCCCCCCGTCTTTTCATTTAAAGGAGTACTCACACAAAATTTTTAAGGTGAGATAACCTGCAGGATAGATTTTTGTGGACATGCACACACATCATCTACGAAATGGGAACAAATAGTATAGCCTAGAATGTTCCTAAAATTATTTTAAATTTTGTGTTGCCCTACCGCACGCTAAATATGCCTTTGTTTTACGGGTAAACAACCAGCCGCTCCCTGCGTCACGAGTTTTTTGTTGACTGCCACAATCCTTGCGAGCGCCGTCTCCTGGCAGACCATTTCAGCAAAAAAGGGGGCAGACTTGCTCGGGAGTATAAAAATTGATGTCTGAGCTTCAGCAGCGATTCTTTGGGGGGCTCGCACACATTTACAACACCTGAGAGGAGATGGCAGCAGCGCCCAGGAAACCGTCGTTGACTTGCCAACATGGTGCTTTGTGTGCAAGCGGTTTTCTGTGTTTACCTGACCAACTATATTTTCTTGAATACCCAGCATTTTTTTCCTCCATGCGAAAACCCTCTTCACTCAGCACTCTGTGAAGCCGAAACTTCAAGTGAGCACAATTAAATCGTCTCCAAATAATTTGTTGTCACACGTTAGAGCAAACGAGGCTTTAGCAATGCTTCAATGCACAGACAATCCTTTCTTTTTATCTTGCTGTGCTATATCCATGCCTTCTCATGACCCTCGGCGAAGCTTCGTTTTGTGTTTGCCAGCTGTAGATGGGGTGAGTTTTAGCGAACCCCAACAGCTTCCCAAATCAGTTACTGCATGCTTCTCCTGAAAAGCAACCACATACCTACTTAATTATGGTCATTCCCACGAGCAAAAATGCTCGAAATTGCCTTTCTTGGGCAACTATAGAGAAATCTGGACAACAGAGAAAGCTCCTACCAAAATAACCGATCGTTCAATCTCCAATCATCACTGCAGCGGCAGAAGGAAAAAAAGGGACAGAAGACACCAATGTCTATACAAAGGCCCTTTAATCGCAGAACCCTCCGTAAGAGAAGAGGGGGCGAACGTGACACCAACGGCATCGCAGCAAAGCCACGTGTCAGTCCCTTACATCATAGGTGCCAGTGAGCCTGTATAATAAGAAAGACAGGAGTCGACGTTGCCCACAAGCCTTCCATCATCGTTGACAGCCGGCCCAAAGACCTTGCACCTGTGTTTGGGTACAGGACCACGTGCGCAAAATGGGGAACCGAGAACTTCCATGAAGAATGCTACAGTGCAGGAGTGACCTATGAACAGTGAACAAAGCGCTTGAGCAGAACCACACCCGTCCTGACAGTGCGGTGATCTTGTAAAAAAAAAGGTGCCTGCGGCTGCCCTTCAAATCCTAGTAGCAGACAGCGGGAAACATCAACGGGCCCTCTTTATACTGCCAGGGCGAGCCGTGCTACACATCTTGGGCCTTTCCTAAAAGTCAGGCTTCAAAACATCATTAAATATTGGTCTGTTATCCCAACTAAGCAGGCTTCTACCTAATGTTCATCTTTTGAAATCTATGTGTCAGGCCCCAAAGCTGGGCTCTCGAGCTTGTTGCTTTGTTTTATACTCTCCCCTACATTCCTTGGGGTGTACAAAGCTAGGTTCGAGAAACTTGAGCCTGGAAAATTTCATCAAGCTTTTTGCAGTGTGGACTGGGCAAACACAGTGACAGGTGAGGAACCACTGAAAAGGCTTCCGCGTGTCAAACCTGACTGTGTTGTTTACCGGCTGCTTCGTACTTCTTGCCGGCCGGCGCCTCAGCGCCGTGCCCTGTGTTCTCCGTGCGGCGCGTCCGCCGCACCATACTACATTTTGGCGACGAGGATCTTCAATCCACGTGCATCAGGCGTCAAGATGGGCTTCCAGCCTTCTTCCTCGTGCTGTCAACTCAGAATCCGTGCAAGCTGTCCCACCGCTACTGTATTTCCTGTATACATTCCTACTTTTTGACACTTTTCGTGCCACTCCGGTCACGACGCCTACCGACGTGCGCGTCTCTCCTCAACTGCTTTCTCGACACTCTCTTCACCAATCATGTACGCGGCTATCTCTCCGCCTCCATTCCTTCAGTGCCCCAGTGTGCCGCCTATTCCATGGAGGCAGCGGCATCCTGTGTTACAGGTCTACATCGACGCCGCTGCCAAGAACGTCACGCCGGAGCACAAGAAGGCGCTGCTCCTGAACGCCTTGGGCGTTGAGGGACTCCTACCTGCGTCCCGCCGAAGATGAGCCGGGAGCCGACTGGCCAACTCAGTAGACGATGTGTACAAATGTATGCGACGTAGCCCTTGCGCTCCTGGATGAAATCTTTGACCCTCAACAGGACGCGGCGTGTCTGCATGCGCACTTCAAAGCCCTGCGTCAGGGCCCAGACCAGTCGGCAGTAGAATTTATACAGAAGGTACGCCGAGTAGCCAAGCTTTGTGAATTTGGCGTGGCGGGCGATATCTTCGCTTTCAACCAAATCGTCTCTGGCATCGCGTTGCCGCACCTACAAAGAATTTTTTTCAAGATGGGTAAGGGCTTCACACTACAAAAGGCACTCGACGTAGCGAAAGAGGAGGAGCCCATCGACTGCGCATTGCTATAGTTATCTGGAGCGCAAGTCGACGCAGTATCGTCGTGTCCGAGTCACAATGGCGGCTCAGCTCGCCGAGCGATTCAAGCTGCAAGGCCAAACGGCGGCCGTCCTCCCCAAGCTTCAGTGCAGAATAGGGCTGGTGGGACTTCTCCTGCGTGCACCTCCTTGCCCTCCGCAGCAATGGACACCACCTCTCCAGCTTCGCCGCCGGCTTGCGCGGGTGCCTGCCACCGCTGCGGCTCCACGCGGCATTGGGCCAACTCCGTCGCTTGTCCTGCCAGGAGCCAGACGTGCTCGCGATGCGGACGTCGTGGACATTTCGCATGGGTCTGTCGCGCTACTACAGAGTCGACCGGTCATTGGACTTCTGCCGCGCTGCTACAGAGTCGACCGGTCATTGGACTATTGGACTTCTGCATCTTCCCTTACGGATCAATGGATCCACTTTCAACATGCTCATCAACACTGGGGCAGCTGTGTCAATGCTCAACGTCCAAGATTATAAGAGGAACTTTTCACATATTAAGTTGCTAACTTTGCACCTCGTTCTAGAGAATTACTCCGAGCAAGCCATAAGTAATCAGGGCTATCTCAAGGCAACAGTCTCGTACAATGGCAACTGCGCCACGATTCCCTTCTACGTCACGGAAAAAGGCACCTCGCTCCTGGGATTACATGCCATCCGAGCTCTGAAAATAACCATCACAGGTGAGACCCTCACTTGTTCTCTCGTTGACTCCTCGGCGGTTCCGGCGAATGCGCCACCAGAGTATCACCACCTGTTTTCGTCGGGCATTGGTGCCGCGCAGAATTATGTTTACCATGTCAAGCGGTTGCCTGGTGTGCAGCCAGTGGGGGCCAAACTGCGTTGTCTTTCCTTCTTGCTGAGGCAACATGTTGCCGACGAGCTGCTACGACTAGAGTTGATTTGCACCATTGGGAGGGTGGATGATTCGGACTGGGTGTTTGCCTTTGTTGCCCGCAAGGACAATTTCATTCGACTTTGTGTCGATCTCCATGAGCCAAACACGGCCATTATGGTGAACGGGTTCCCTCTACTTCACATCGAGAAACTTTTACAACAGTTAACAGGTGCTAAAATTTTTTTCTAAACTTGATTTTTCATCTGCATACCGCCAGGTTGAGTTAGCGAAGGAGAGTTGTGACCTTACTACTTTTGTAACGCATCAAGAGCTTTACAGATTTCGCAGAGTGTGCTTCGGGCTAGCATCATGCACCAGCTATTTTCCAAAAAATGATAAGTGATGTACTGAAGGGGTGCCCGGGTGTTGTCTGTTACTTAGACGACATTTTAGTTTGGGGCCATAATCGGGAAGAGCATGATGTGCACTTGAAAAGTGTCATGTTTAAAATAGATTCCAGTGGCATGAAGCTTAATGACAAGTGTGTATTTGCTGCTACTGAAATTGCATACTTAGTTCATAACATGAGTGCTCGCGGGTTATCGCCGGTCGAGTCTAAGGTCGCTGCCATTCTTGATGCCCCTGTTCCTACTCATTTTGAAGCACTCCAATCCTTCTTGGAGTTGGTTGGATATTATGCAACGTTTATACCGCATTAGGCTGATGTTGTTGAGCCTCTGCACCGCATACTCCGGCAAGGTCAGAGTTTTAATTGGTCGGCTGAGGTCAATGCCAGTTTCAACCAGGTTAAAAAACTTATTGCTGACCGTTTGTCATAAATATTTTTGATAACAATCTTCCGGTGGTGGTTACTACCGATGCATCTAATGTTGGCATCGGAGCAGTGCTTCAACAACAGAGAAGAGATCAGCTGCTAACTGTAGCTTTTGCATCTAGAACATTCTCCCCGGCGGAACGCCGGTATTCAGCAGAGGAGCGCGAAACTCTCGCTTGTTTGCGGTAGAAAAATATGACATGTGTATCTTTGGGGTCGGCATTTTACCTTGAGGACTGACCACCAGGCTTTAACTACTTTGCTGTCAGCTGGTGCGGTGGGGCGACGCCCGTTGCGAATTTCTCGATGGTGCACCCGACTGTTATATTATACTTTTTCTGTACAATATTGGAAAGGTGTCGATAATGTCGCATTATCTTGGCTGCCAGTCCAGCTTCCGCCAGCACAAGTGCCAGAAGAAAAGATAATTTTTTTAGTTGCTGCATGCTTAAATAAGGACGAGTTACAGGCAGCCACTGATAATGATGGTACCTTCCAGCAGCTTAATCAATACATTGCTGAGCGTTGGCCTTCAAAGAAGCATTTGACTTCAGTACTTGTACCTTACTTTGTAGTGAAAGACAAACTGTCTTATGCTGATAGGCTCATTTTCCGCGGGGAACGTGTTACAGTTCCAGAAACGCGCAGGGGGCATTTGATTCAGTTGGCGCATGAGAATCATCCAGGCATAATTCGTACAAAGCAGCTGGTTCGTGGCAGGTATTGGTGGTCGTGCCTTGGCAAACAAGTGGAAAGTGCGATTCGGAACTGTTGCATCTGTGAGGCTGCCGACAAATCGGCGAAACCTGTCTTTGCACCCATACAACCAGTTTCTTTTCCTGAGACACTGTAGAAGTTAGGCATGGACATTATTGGTCCTCTTTCAAATTTTCCCCCAGATTGTCGCTTTGCGGTCACATTGATTGATTATTACTCCAAATGGCCTGAGGTTTTTTAGTTTGAGACGTTACGTCTGATGCAGTCATCACCTTCTTGACTTCCGTCTTCTGCCCAGAAGGTTTTTCAACATGCTTAGAAACAGACAACGGTCCCCAGTTTAAGTCTCGTCAGTTTGAAACTTTTCTCTCCGAACGAGGTATTCAACGCCTCTGTTCTTCCAACAACTATATTCTCAAGCCAATGAACAGGTTGAGCGGTTCAATAGGGTCCTGTTAGAGTATATTCATCTAGCCCAACTAGAACAATGCCCTCCAAAAAAGGCAATTCCGGAGTACCTCAGTACTTAACCGTTTTTCTGCTCAGGCAACTACGGGATCGTCTCCCGCGATGCTGCTTCATAAAACGTCAACCTCGCACAGTGGTTGACATAACTGATCAGCTGTCGCTTTCTAATTTGCAGTCATTTTCAGAGAATACCATAAGGATGCGAGTTTTCCATAGGCAGCAGTACATGAACTATGTGGATCAGAAGCGACGAGCCTAACCTTCAGTCATTCAGGTTGGCCAAAGTGTCAAAGTACGCATTCCAGGGAAAAAACACAAGTATAGAGGTCCGTTTACAGTTATGTCGGCAGTGGGATCCCAGGCATTTAAGCTCAGTCATGGGTTGGTTTAGAACGCTTCTAAACTTGTAAACGTCCATTCCGAACGGGAACCATCTTCACGCTTGCACTCTTCAATATCTTTGCAGAACCAGTCGTAATACTCTGCCTCGGTTCCACGGTTGCTTTCTATCCCTATTCCTACAGTATCACCATCTTTCCCTGTGGGAAATGGTAGTCAGGCACTGGTTTCAAATCTGGCTGTGGTGCCCAGCCACCATGAAGTTTTACCATGCACCGAGCACGCTTCAGAGTTCTCGGACTCTTGTCAGGCTCCGTATGAATACTTGACTGACGAGCCCAGTCCCCATGCCAGTATCCTTCTTAACACTAATGGACATGCTTCGGAAACTTCAGCTTCCCATGTTTCCCGTCAGGGTTCTCCGTCTCCGACTACAACAGAGGGACGCTTAAGCGAGTCGTCGGACTCCTCAATGCTCTCAGCTGTGTCTGAGCAGCGTGTAAGCGAGCCTGTAGGCTCCTCTTCACATATTGAACTTGCTGCTCTGCAAGGGAGCAGCACTTCAGAGCGCAATGAGCTTTGGCGTTCTAAGCGTTCGCGTAAGAAACCATCCCTGTTTAAAGACTTCGTGTCCTAAATTCTTCTTTCTTTTTCGTATGTCGGAATCTGTGCCATACGAGTGCATTGTTGTGTGTATGCTGTACATTTAGTTATTGTACAACGTTATAAGGGTTATACTGGTATACTGTGATTTTTTTGTTGTATGTTGTTTGTATAAGTGCTCTCAGCCATGGTGTGCTGTGTACATAGCTTTTTTTTTTCTCCTTCTCATGCCGCTTTTCTCTTCTTCAATTGGTTACTTTAGGAGAAAAGGAGGGGGGATGTTAAGGTTGTAAATAAAGAAGCTATATGTGTCATAGCATTCTTCTAAAATTGTATAAGGTTATAAAAGTTACTCATGTTTCATTAATCATTGTATAAGGATCTTAGAGCCACATGTCCTTTTCTTTCTAGAGGGGGATGATGTGGTGTTTTGGTTTTGATTCCATGGTTGCCAGATTCGGTTTCAAGTAAAGCATTTTCACCCTCAGGGGGTGCTACCCTGCGTATATATGCGCGGCATTGAACATAATAATAGAGTTCCTGCTTGGCTACCGGCTGCTCCGTACTTCATGCCAGCCGGCGCTTCAGCGCCGTGCCCTGTGTTCTCCGTGCAGCATGTCCACCGCACGATACTACACTGACTATGAATGGAAAGGTGTTTTAATAGAAAAGAAAAAAAAAAGTGAGGAAAAAAAACTGGTGTTGCTATGTTGTGTCAGTGCAGAGTTCTGAACCGCAGGCACGCTGGGAAAATATGGCAGCAATATATCCTAGAGACTCAAAGAATTCAATGAGGTCACTAAAGGTTAAAACCCCTTCAAATTGGCAAGAGGTAACAGAAGAAATTTGTTTTTGCCAGTGATCAGGTGTGGCATATGGCATGAATGATGTGTTTCTGCCCCTTTTCTCCTTGAAACTCGCTCGCAAAATTTTTCATGGTACCATGGAGCATGCTATATCAAGCCACACTTAATAACACAGTTGCTGTATAATTGGTAAGAAATTACAAAAACCAATACTCTGTTTTGTTTCTACATTTTTAATAAAACTTGAAATTCGGCAAGATGGTGCATAGCTATTGGAAAGTTGTTTACCACAAAACAATGTATCACCAATGCATTCATGACCACCGATTCAGTCTCTCTGGTTCTTGTGAATATTTTGTTTGGCACTCCAATTGCTACATATATTCATGGAAAAACAAGAGCGGCATATGAAGACACAAGCAGTTCAGTGCAACTGAGAGCGAAGGGACGCTCGATGCTGGCGAATCCTGCTGCTCTGTTGCCTTTTAAACCACGTGATTGATCAAGTTGGAACACTGCCCTCATTCTCCATTGATAAGGTACATAATTGTAGATCAAAAGCAATGTGAATCACGATGTACATAATAAAATTGGCCTGGAGTTGCATATCTGTCAGAAGATGCTACACAGCCCATTTCTATGCCCTAGTAGAGCCATCTTCATTTACTTTGAACGTTTGTGAATTAACCTAGAGATACGATATTGGAATAATCTATATTTATTTAGTTTATCCTGTTGTCAGTATCGCAATTTACTATTGCACAAGTTTTGTAGCATGCTTTAGAAGCTCTTTCTACTGTGCCATAGTCTGTAAACGTTGTACTCTATAACTGCATTATTTATAAAAAAAATAAGGTTGGGACTAATGCAATGCATATAAAATCACTAATACATCACCAAAAATTACGAGTTTCATGAAAAAAAACTCATATGTTGTTGAAAATTATAACTTTAAATTTTGATGTCATGCCGCCACGAACGGTGTTAGCTCCGTGACTACACTGCAGAATTTTACAAATAGTTAGTGGTCTTGAGAGTAGGCAATATACATTGCACGAGATTTTAGAGGTGGGGTGCCATTAATATTTCAGATTAAATTGTGTTAGCATAGAATTAGTTTTTTAGTCATGTTGGCATTTTAATGTTAATATTTCTCCTAATTGGTGCATTTTATGGAGCCATATAATGCCGTACCTTTAAGTTGGAGTTATCAATAGTTGTGATTCAGTAAATACAGTCGAGCCCACACATAACGGCCTCACTTAAAACGAATTTTCACTTAAAATGAACAATATTTGCGTGACCGTAAAAATATGCATTGTTTCAATGGCACAAAATCGCACTTACAATGAACGTCTCCAAGCGCCGCTGATCGGTTACAGCGAACGGAGTCAGCGGTCTGCCGCCTTCCCGGGAAACCAATTTCGACCACCGATCAGGCATCAACGAGGTGCCCATACATTCTTGTTTTTCAATGCCGATTCTGCCTCCGTGCTCCTCTAGTTGCTGCTCTCCTCGACTGCTTTTGGTTATGCACCCCTCCGTCCTTTGTCCCCCCACTACTCTGAGCACCCCGCATCGCCAGACGAGGCCCGTGTTTTCACACTGCCATCGATCTTTCAAAGACCGGTCGGCCACTTACCCTGTTTTTGATCGCTGGTGCTGTCGTTGGCGTCACTGGCCTGGAGTGACCAGACCATTTGCCAACATCGTCGTCCACCGACTGTATCCGATAGTATCCGTCTAGCGCACGCGCATACGCTACCCCACCGACTATGATATTCTGTGATTCGTTTCATGTTTAGGACTTGTTCTCCCTCACTTCGCACTCAACTCGGCCAGCCTTCTGCGGGCATGCAGAAGCGCTAAAACGGCTGTTAGTTTGCGCGGAACGAATCGCGAAATATCGAAGTTCGTGAGGCCACGCAAACTCGCCGACGCAACAAAACGATTTTTTGACCACGGCCACCGATTCTTCAAACGCCGCCGGGCACACCGATTCAGGCGGCCATGCACTCTAAGTTTTTCCACGTGAGAGTTTCGCGGACCTTTCAAGCAAGCTACCCAACCTGCCTCCTTTCCATGTGTTTTGGTTTTCAAGGTCGCCCTTCTACCGCATCCTCCCCTCTCTTTATCGAAACTCCTTGCCCTTCGCTCGCAAGTCTGCTCTCCTGTCTTGATCACAACCCCTTCGCCCGTCTCCACCGCTCTGCGACGCCCACCACGCTGGCTCTAATTAGTTTCATTTTTTGACTGAAAACGGGCCCAGAGCTGTTTCACGCGTTCTGGCATGTCTGTCGCGTGTGAGCGTCTTGCTCGCTCTTGGTGTGCTTGTGTGGTCATGATGGCCGACGTGAGGACTATCACGTTTTTTCCTGCCACTCATGAAAACGTCGAGAGTGTGACCACTTGGCTTGAGCGTAATCCGCACGTTAGGTGCCGCGTTGCGGCGCGCTTGCTCATAGCTGTTGACCACCTGGCAGCCAATTTGCCGTTTTGGGCGTCCCGGTATTCAGCTGTGGAGAGGGTGAATATTTCGTGGGTGGCGGTGACGGCTACATGTGCGCGAAACTATTTTCGTGAGGCCGACTTCGTCGATCATCGGGCTTGATGCCGAGCCTGAAGCTTCCGAACAGGACCACTGCGGCGGTGATTTGTGGCAGCGCGTCGTCTACTCTGACCTGAAAGAGCGGGTGGGACATCTGTTGCGATGATTTAATTGTGGCCGATGATAATGCCGACACTGCAGAACCGTGCACGGATTGGGGCATTCTGAATGAAGTATGTAGCGAGAGTGATTTGGAGGAATTGGATTGCGATCGAGAACGATGAAGCTTCGGAGCCAGTGCCTCATGCAGCTTATGCCACGGGCCTTGGCGAGCGAGCAGTCTGTCGTTTTAAATGAACTCGAGACCGCCCTTATCATTTCTGCTCTTTGAAACATGTGCATTACAGTCTTTTTGGGGCAAAAAAAGTTTGTGTTTTCACTCGCAACTGTCTTTAAAAGCTGTGTTTAATTTACTACGAACTTCGGAATACAGCGAATGGATGCCGCGTCACGTCCAGGTTCGTTATAAGTGGGCTCAACTGTATATCTTCATTCAAAGAAGCTTTTATCAAGGACCTCCACTGGAACGAGTCCCAAGGTTGTGGGGAAATGACCAGATTTATAACTTGGAAAATCAATTCTGTGGCTTTTTGTGACATACATGACTACAAGGCATGTCATAAAAGGAGACTATAAATATTTGTAATCATAGGTCGGCAGAATAAATGTAGCCCACGCACATTATATAGGTTCTTCTCGCATAGGACTCTTTAGTATCCAGAGTAACCTAAATTTTCCTGAAGTGAACTCACTCAGACTCATACTCACCAAAATTTTTCACAAGCGAGCTCACTCGGAATCAGGCTCACAAAAATGTAACTCAGCCGGACTAACTCACATGTGGACTCACGAACGTTTTCGTCACCCAAACTCACTCTGGCTCATACTCGGCAAAATTTTCTTCGAGTAGACTCGCCAATGCTTAACTCAGCTGAGTATAACTCAGCCGGACTCGCACCTCACTCAAGTCTGAGTGAGTCGACTCACAAGTGAGCTCGCCGACCAACGATGGAGCTCTCGTGCAGTGTAATTTGCTTGGAAGGGTGGCAGTTCAGGCTCACTGGTACATCTATCACAAGGGTCAGAAAGCTTTTGACATGGGAGGGGATAGGGGGAGAGAGGGCTTTGCTGGCATCAACATTAATGTACAAAACTGAAATAAAAATCATTTTTATTTTCAGGGCATGCATGTGGCAAGGCTGCGATTTACAAACATAGGTTACAAGCAAAACAAAAAACTTCTTTCAGTGCGACTTTTGGCCTTCAGATAACAAGTGATAAGAGTAGGAGGAGGTTGACCGCAGGTTGTGGACCCCTGATCTATACCAGAACAGTGCACCAACACAACAAAAGACTTGGCTTTATTGTGAAATGAAGCACAATAAGCAGTGCTTGCAGTGGCTAAGGAAAGAAAAAGCACATGTTGAAATACAGCAAGTGCAAGACGGGAGTTGCTGCCTGCAAACCTGCACGTTTCAAAGACTCTGTGCTTGCTCATGCAAGAGCTTCTGTCATGTGAGCCACTTGTACTATTTTGTGGGTGTGATCACCGTCGTGCTGATACAGAACTGCTGCCTTGGTGCTGATTACAAGGTCGCATAATTTTGTGTCAGCTGAAGGCTTTCTATCTCATGTGAAATAAGAGCTTTTTCTAATGCCACTTGCCAAATGGCGTCCGTTACGATAGCTGAGTATGTTGCCACATTTGCAGCGTGGGATACTAGTGCATGTGGCTCATTGCAGGTTCCGGTGTTTGCCAATTCACTAGTGACCTGTCGCCTGGAGAAGTACTTTCCGCAGCCGGAACAGTTCCGGCCTGAACGTTGGCTCGGGGAAGCACGGGGCCTGATCCACCCGTTTAGTCTGCTGCCTTTCGGCCATGGTGCCCGCATGTGCGTGGGCAGACGCTTCGCAGAGCTTGAGCTCATGACTACAGCTGCCAAGGTACACTTGATTCATCACAAACTGTTTTATTGAGCCAGCAAGAAATGATAATACTGCCCAGATGTGTCATACTTTGGACGAGAAATATTTTAGCTTTCAAGGCTAAATGGTTGAGTTAGAAACAAAGTAATGCAGGGTAATATTTGTATTCCTTTTTAAGGGGACTCGAAAAGAAGTATTTCATCTGTAGCCTTAAAATTGTGACTGTTAACACTAGTTTTTGTGCTGATTTCAAGTAGATAATCATTTTTATTTTTTACCATGACAATGCATAAAATATAGCTCTTTTTAGACATACTTTTTCTGCCACTAAACATTTATAATTATTAGCCAATGGTTCATATTTCTCCACAATATTTATCAGGAAAGTGTGCATGAAGCACTTTAATGAACAAGAAAAATTGTCATGTAAAAGTTTTAAGATATTCAGCCCGTATTAATCACTTAGTTCATGATAATTGATATGTGAGGTTTAATGTCTCGAAACCACCTTATGAGTATGAAAGCTGCAAACCCTTACTTCAAGTTCATAATAATTGTATAATGTATAATCACATCTTAGAGGAAATAATTGCATTATTTACATGTTAAGAATATGTGAAAGCAAGTTAGAACAAAAAGTTTTGTAATTTTGGAAAAAGAAAATTTTGTTTTGGGACATCTGAGGCAGTTCTTAACTTTGTTAGGTTTCCTTTTTTTACTTAAAAAAATTTTTTTAATAGTTACAGGAGCAGCTAAGTTGTTAAGCTTGACAATACAATGTGAATTATTGTATATGCTCTAGTTGATTAAGGGCAGTAAAATAACAGTAATTGCAGTGTTGTTATAAGTGCTTAACTAATGTAAAATTGTCGTGCGCAAAGCTCAAGTGGAAAACTTCGTCATTCTTGATTTAGGCTCGACATTTCCACTTTGCACTTACACAAGAAATTGTAGCGATTGTGTCTGAACCCGCTAAGCAATAGGCGATCAAGTGAATATTCAGCATTTTTTTATAAAAAAATTATCTGATTTAAGATAAATTAAAAAAAAACAACAACTCCAGGGCATGCCACAAGGTGCCAACACTCTTTTGATTTCATTTATTGCACTGCTCATGCAGAACTTGCTAGTGTTGTGCTTGCTCTACACTGCTTAACATAGCTCTGCTGCGTCTATTATCTTGCTTTGCGAAGTATGAAGGGCTACACATTACATTCCAAGTCTTTGAAAAAGAAAGATGCATATGGAGAAGTGTACTTGTGCTGTGATTGAAATGTCTCCCCCCATCCACTTTCAGTCTATCTCTTCACGTTCTATTTTAGTAGAAAAGAAGCACGTGATTATGTGGTGCCTGCAAAAACTCCACGTTGACCTTCGTGAATGGCGGCTCATACATAAAGAGACATGCTGTCTCTTTACATACATACATGCTGTCCAAATAGCACAGCATTTCACTCTTATTGCATGTGCAGCAACAATGGGCTTACCTCAGTCGCAATGGTTTGCTCTTGCAGATGGTTCAGAATTTCATCATTGAGCCCTGCACACAACGCATCAACACTGCATACGTGTTTGTAGTGGTGCCAAGCCACCCCGTGAGACTCCGGTTCATCGACCGGAACTGATCACCCACACCTCTCAATGTATGACAGCAAGGTGCCCCTTCGAATTCTTTAGCATACCCATGTTTATTTGGTGCCAGTCATCTTGTTATTTTTAGTGGTGGTCCAACTGTGCTGCCTGTTCAGTTTTACTGCACCTTGATGCATGCATCTACCCCAAAGTTTACGTTTTGGTGTGGCACTAGACTCATTCTTGGCCTCTTTTATTGTATAGACTTTTTAGCATAAAAGTATACAGTCGGGATCGGCCTGACTTCATACTTGGGCCATCACATATTATTGAAGCGTGTTGCCCTTGTTCTGGGAGTTCAATTGTCTTGGTGAGAAACTAGAGATATTGTAGGCATCTATTATGCACTTCATCCTCTTCTGAGCAGCAGTCATTCATCATCATTTTTGGGTGTGCGCTTCATCACTGGATCCAGAGTTTGTGGCTAAATAGACGTCGTTACAGCCGAGTCATCATACGTGGTGAAGAGCATAATGCAGAAGACATGAACAACTTTGATGCTTCGGTAACGGCGGTCAGTTGGCTCGACGATTGGCGTCACAAGATAGTTGACAGGCGAAGTCTGCTCCAAAACTATGTATGGGCTGATGAACAAAGACTGGAACTTTTTGCACAATATATAGAACTAAATTTGTTTCTTTCAAGCTATCGGAATTTATTCGAATGTGTGATAGTGTACAGCAACTTGTGGTTACTGCTTTCGACACTGTGCACTCTAAATGTTTTCTTCACACTAATGCATACCTGCCAAGTCTCCCGGATTGGCCAGGAGACTCCCTGATTTTGACCGTTTTTTTCAATTGTACGGTTGTCATGAAAATCTTCTTGAAATCGAAATTTCTGTGTGTGATCTGGCCGCATTGACAAAAAAGCAGCTCAATCCGCGGCAGGCTTTTTGAACCTACCCCATTTTATTATAAATGAGTTTAAGAGGCGTTTATGTAAACGTACAGTATAATCTCAGTGATGCGCAACCGTGGCAGATACGAATTCTTGAAATTACCCAGCCAAATTTTACTATGTTCATTGGGCCTCAATTTGAATGTTCCGAACACATTTCGTAATCGCGGCGGGTGGTATGAACTTTAGTACGGAAACCGTCGAACGAAGGCCTTGAGCAGCGTACCCGAAGCTTCGGAAGTACGCATGCGACTGGTGCACGCACCGTCTTCTACAGTGCGTGTGATTGTCGTTGCCATAACTGCTGTGGTCAAAACCGCGGTCGCTCTTGACACGATCACATATGGCTACGACGTAACTGATAGGCTCCTGAAAGTGTGCGTGCGTCCAACATTCAACCAGTCAAAGCAACGCTGCTTTCCGCAAACCCTGCGGACAAAACCGCGGTAAATGTGATCGTAGACGGCATAAAACGACTTAGTCTTGAAGGCGCGTGCACCCCTAAGCGCATCGAGATTGTAAAATGAACTACCGTTTGCCGCAACCGCCATGCACAAAACCGCGGTCGCGGCGAGGCGATAGCGATCTACGAACTCCGAAGGCATGCAGCGGTAGGTTAAAGGCAGTAAGTACGTAAAAAATTTTTAAAAAGTTAGTTTCCCCGCAAGGGCGAAGGAAGAAATGCGACAGCAACAACTTGGAATGTAATGTTGTGAACGGCAAGCAGATTGAAACGTGCAGCTCACACACAAATGACGCACAAAAATGATACTCGCAGAACGAGAGCGAACAACGTTTACGGTTCGACAAGTAATGCGCTGTTTAAACAAAACCGATGCACGATACGTAATCACAGGTACAGTACAAACTAACAAGTCTCCCAGTTGTTATACCTCGCTGTGTATGAAAAGCGCACTATTTTCGCAAAAGGAGCCTGTGTAGCGACCAAAGTGACCTTTGTGGGCACGAAAACTAACGCTTTCGTTTCAGTGAAAGCTGAAGGCACACGATTCCCCCACCAAAAGTTAAGCGCGTGCACAGGCATCCATCCATGGGGCAAAGTACACGTGAGAGATAAGCACGGCTCGGCACATCGCGATGAGCTTGTCACCGAGCGCGGGCGGCTTTTTTTCTTTCAGTGCTCATATATATAGATACGTATACATATACGGTGGAGGACGCCGGCGGTGGCGATGGCAAAAAAAAAAAACAGCCTGGACGGTCCATATAATTGCTATCACAGTAAAAACGGAAAAAGGGGCCAGGCATGTTTTGACGTTCTTGTAAAAAGCATCTACTAGTAGCGAGCAAAGCTTTGACCCGTGCTTTTACGGCAGCCAGCTCCGCAGTCCCGTCCGTTTACGTGTGTCCCAGGAAGACAGAGGCAAGTTGTTTTGACTGAAATATATTCTGCTAGTTTTGTTGATCTATTGAGACTCTCACCTTAGTGAAAAGCTCTACCCTCGTGTGGTCAGCCACTCCTAGCCACTATAAAACGGCAACGCTGATAATGGCGCTTGCGATTGAGACCCCCCTTCCACTCCCTTTTGTTTTTCACGATGTTTTCTTGTTTTTTTTTTTTTTGTGCCGTGCAACCCCTCCCCTTCATTGTAGAAATCTCCCGGATTCAGAATCCTATAACTTGGCAGGTATGCTAATGCAGTGTCAGTCATGCAAAAGTTTTTTTATTGAGGGAAGAATAAGATGTTGCATGTAAATCACTTCAGATTACTGTAAGATCTCAGTGATATGAATGTTGTGGGGTCACACGAAATGTTCGCGTCAAGTTAAGTTTCTGCCATCAAAGAGAATGCAAAATCAAGAAAAATTTATTTGTGGCAGAGGGTACCTGATGAGAATGCTACAATACGCTGAGTTGAATGACCTGCCGAAGATTGCTCAGCCTTATGACATCGCTCAGGGCTGTAGCCAGGAATTTTTTTCATATTTGTGTGTGTGGGAGGGGTATGTGTAGAATGACTAGCCTTGGCAACATGTGGTTGATGTGAAGGCATGTAAATGCTTTAGTATCACCCATAAAGTTGAAGCGCGAAAAAATTTTGGGGGGTGTCAGGACTCCTTCAGTCCTAGTTATGTTGCTGATTGCTTAGAGACAACAGACATTGCCTTAAATGCACTGCACTCATCACTCCCAGTCGCAATGTGACTGGGAATGATGAGTGCAGTAATGAGTGCCGCTGTGGCTTGCGCATTCATATGGTTTGCCATAGTGTCAAATGATGTCAGAACAGCCCTTCTCCGTATTGTATTGTATTCTTTTCCGTATCGAACGCCAAATATTACCAATTCACATCACACGGCCATTCATACCAGCCTTGATGCGCTGGTATGGATGTCCCAGGGTTTTGATTGATTGATTGATATGTGGGGTTTAATGTCCCAAAACAACCCAACTATATGAGGGATGCCGTAGTGGAGGGCTCCGGAAATTTCAACCACCTGGGGTTCTTTAACGTGCACCCAAATCTGAGTCCACAGACGTACAACATTTCCGCTTCTATTGGAAATGCAGCCACCGCAGCTGGGATTCGATCCCGTGACCTGCGGGTTAGCAGCCGAGTACCTTAGCCACTAGACCACCGCGGCGGGGCTTCACTGTATTAGTTGCAATGCTATCAAACAAAATGCCACCATAGGCCACGGCTGGCATGAAGTGGTGCCGTCCATGTAAATCAAGATGAAAACAAGCTGTGGGATGGCTGACGTTTTCATAGGGGGACCTATCTTTGTCAAAGACGCATTGTCATCCTTGGCGTGTTGGTCTTAAGGGGGGTCAGTCATTGATGTCATCTCCTGTGGTAGCACTTGTCCCTGTTGGTAATTACCATCTTTAAAGAACAGAAAATCTATAATGAAGGAGAGTGCAGCCCTCGCTACATTTAAGGTTAGGTTGCAATGATACTAAGGATTCTCTTCTCGGAGGTAAGTGGAGGGGCGGAGTAAAAAAAAAAAAGAAGAAAAACATGGTTGATCCCTTTATCATAGGAATCAGTACAACACGAAAATAAAACCCTTCCTTACAGAAGTAGTTTATTGCTTACTGTACATTGATGTGAGAGAGCTTATACATTGTTGGTGTTCGATAGCTAAAACACCATTTTTTTGTAAATGCATCCACGTTAAGGATTAGTAATATGTCTCTATCTCAATGACTAACATCCATCAATAATGATTGATTGATGATTGAACATGCCCTTGTGGTCATACATGCCTGTGGTAGCCACAGTAGTTAACGGTGGGAGCCGAACCAGAAGAACTTGAGTAATTGTACGCCAAACTTGGGCTAAGGTTGCCTACTTCCGGCATGGTAGAGTTACTGAACGCCACTGCCCGATTAAAGGGGAACGCGACATGCATTGTGTCTTGCACGCTGGCCAGCCACAATTTTTTTGCTTGGCGAGTCTGAGCGGAGAACGCCGAGTTACATCCAGGCGAAACAAGTGCATTGCTATATGTGTTACAAAAATATTTTTAATATGGAGGCACGCTGACGCTTTGGGTAAGATCACCACCTGGCAGTGTGCTAAGGCGTTAGTACTTCTATTGAAAATGCACCGAACAGGATGGACGCGTAAAAATGACACGTTTAAGGAACTAATTGTGGATTTCACTGTGATGATGCATTCTCACACGTTGCCAAGAGTGCTGTAGAGTAGAGGGCTGTGGTAGATATAAAAGGCATGCTTTTGAAACCTACAAAGTATGTGGTCGTGACACAGTGGTTAGCGTTCCCGGCAGCTATTATGTCGACCGAGAGGTCATGGGTGCGACTCCTGTTTCTGGAACTTTAGTGTTCTTATTGTGTTATTTTTTAGATGTCATTTTTGTGACGGAAGTATGCCACTAAAATCTTGGTGGACCCCGGCCAGCACCTCCTATATTTTTCAGATGCCCATCAGTTTATGTTCCGAACAATAGGAGCTCGCACGACGCTGCGCTTCGCATGCTTGCCGCGATGCAAAGCCACCGACTGACACTATTGCCGTCCTGTCAACCGCTCTGGACGAAGGTGGGATGATGCTCTGGCTGTGTCATTTATAGATTTGAATATTTGTGAACAACATGCAGTTTTCATGCGATAATGTTAATAAGCTCGAGTAGCAGAAACTGCGTTGTTCTGTGTCTCGCACGCGGATTTTACGACTACGACTTTGGGATTGCACAAGACTTCGCCTTGTGAAGCTGTTTATATCTTACATATATTTGATTGCGGTCATGCTGTGATTTGTTGCAGCATGTTGGGAAACAGCGTGAGCAACGACAACCAAGCGAT